ATTCTGCTTCAACTGAAGCTCAAAAGGACGTCAAGTCGGCCCAGGGCAGTAACAACGCAGCCTCGGAAGGGAACGCTCAGCATTCGCATCCTGCCTCTTCCCAATCACCCGCTGGTGCTCGTCAGGAGTCCAAGACTTATCATAAATCGCACGAGTCTAACAATGTCTCGTCGTATAAGGGTGTCGAGCAGCATGCTGCCGGTGGTTCGCGACAGGTCAGTTCGGCCACTGATGCTGGCCACGCTAGGTATGGTACTAGCCACGATAGGCGATTCGAGATGGGTTCTCGATCTGGAGAGTTCTTCAAGGATTCCGGTTTTCAATCGAGAGATAGAGAGTTCGTAAAGGACCGCGACTTTTCCAGGGATGGCAGGGAATATCAGCGCGAGTCACGATCTGAGAGAGGTCGTGGTGGTTACCGTGGTGGACGAGGTGGTCATTCTGCCTATCCCAGCACCAGCACCAGCTCCCAGAACACTTCTTACCACTCTGCTCCTATCGCCCAGCACCCCTTCCCACCTACAAAGAACTTCAACTTTACCGATCGCCATCGCCTCCCGCCTACCGCCAACGGCTCTCAACCGCAACCGCAGCCACAGCACAGCTCTTCTAACAACCGGATGAGCATGCGTTCTCCTTCCATGCCAAACCCAGGCATGTTCACTGCCCCTCCTTACGCCATCCAAACAGACCTTAATGTCATGTACCCATACCCCCAAACTGCCGCTCCTCAGGGCCCCATGACCGCGATTCCCTATCAGCCATATATGGAGAACTTCTCCCTCATGAGCATGATCTCCATGCAACTTGAATACTACTTCTCCGTCGACAACCTGTGCAAAGACCTCTTCCTCCGCAAACACATGGACTCCCAGGGCTTCGTGCTCTTGAGTGTCATCGCATCTTTCAAGCGCATCAAATCGCTTACTGAAGACATCGAGCTGTTGCGTTTCGTATGTCGCCAGTTGAGAAATGTCGAATATAGACCTAGTGAAGATGGAGTTGATAGATTGCGTAAACGCGAGGGATGGCAGCAATGGGTACTTGGTATGGAGATGCGCGACTCTTCGGCGCAGAATGATGGTCCTCTTACCGCGTCTGCTGAAGAATATGTTCCTATTTCAGCATCCCTTCCACCACACGTGAATGGGAACGGAACATATAACAGCTTCATCCCTACCGCTGAGCTGGTGTCAGCGGAAGATGCACCGAAGCGTCAGGCAAAGCTTTCCTCGGCTGCGCCGGAGTTTTCGCCCCTTGCATCTAATGGAGCAGGATCCTTTGAACAGGCCACCTTTACGGATGGTCAGGCTGATAACTTTGTCGCTGTGGTAGGTTGATTACATATACCCTTTGCATGTACTGGCTTACCTTGATCTGTGCATTTACTGACTATGATTGTGAAGCAGCAAGTTGGCCAATAAATGCCACCATTAGTTTTTGTTCTTTACTCTGCACGCACCCCTTCCCATCATTATTTGGCACGCGAAAAGAATCATGATACCCAAGGTCAAGGATAAGAGAATGGCCTAGGTAGAAAAAACTATTCTCCTACTAGCCTTGTTACCTTGTACCATCTCTCGTTGACATGTCTTGCCATGCAATCTGTTAAAAAGGCAGCGCCTGAATGGCAAACATTCTTCCATCATGAATGAACGACTAGCTGCCAATTTCCCCTCCTTTCCCCCTTCTTGGTTCAAAAAACAAATCTTTACTTCCAGCAATGTACAATGAAAAGATTCAGGAGCTTGGCGTTGTTGACCATTTTCATTTCGACCACGCCTTACCAAATCTTTTTACCTTTTTTTCGAGACAAAAAAAATTGTGATATTTCGAAACCCTTCCCACGACGTCATTTGTTTTTCATGTTCGAGTTCGAGTTCGCCTCAGGGCTATATGTGTTATGTGAACGAGGTACTGGTTTTTATTTGGGTGGTGGAAATGGGAAACGTGGAAATGAACAGATCGTTCCGACGTCTATGTTTATGGGAGCAATCAATTCGACTGATCGACTGACTACTCTACTCGATAGACGCCGAAAGCTGGCTTCGAGGAAATACGCTATTTAACGACATGCATGATGTCCAACAAACACACACCCCTTCAGCTTTCGGGCAGGTTTATCCCATTTTACAGAGCAGAAAAAATTTGAAAAAGAAAACATCCCTCCAAAAAAAAATTACTTTGCGTTATGCCGAAACCCAGAATGCTTTCCGGACCTGTTTGTGTCGAATGTTCATCGGACCTCGAGGTGTTATCCTGGTTGAAGCCTAGCACAATCTGTTCTCCGATGCCGCTATTCGGCGGGTTAATCAACCATCTATGTTCGAGTTACATTTGTCTCCGCCTTGTCCGTTTTATGTCGTTCTCTTCTCTCGGTATCGTGGTGTCAACACAGCAGTTCTCTCGCTCTACTCTGATAGATCGGCGGAGACGGCATCAGATCGCCGGTCAGGTTTCTTTTCCTTGGAACGAATGCCATCGAGGCATGATGGCCTGTTTGCGTCTATGGTCACCCTCCTCGCCTGATCTCATCTCTCAGTCGAAGTGCCCCTTGCGCCGTTGGGGAGGACAAATACCGACAACAGAAGCCCGGTGATCATTTACCGCGGAATGGGACTAGAAGGGAGAGAAAAGAGCGAATTGTTCCCTGTTTTTACTACATGCATCAGAAATGGAAAACTAAAAATTTGATACTTCGTCTAGGGTCGTGTTGCAGTCTTGTATATTCTTGCTGGGCCAGTCTTCGGAATTCTCTTCTTTTCTTCCCGTCTCTTTGGTTTCCCTTCCATGAGACAGCTTTTTTTTCTTTTTCAAGGTCTGCTCGACTATTCGCTTGTTCGTTCTAATCTCGAAAACCTCTGGCCCCTTTTTTGCCCTATTTTCTTCTCTGTGTTCGTTTTCTTCTATAGTTATCGTTCCAACACTAAATATCTGCATGCGGCGTTATGGGTTCGGCTTTATATCATTTCTCTCCCCCTTTTTCCTTTGCGCGAAAGTGCCAAAGTTGTTCCCGTGCTTCGCGTTCGATTTGCGACTAAAAGCGAACATCAATGGTATTTCCGTCTTTTTAGATTATTTTTATCCTTTTTTTTTCAATGAAAGAGTCAACTCCAATCTTTTTGCTTTATTTCTGATTCAAGTGCTTTCCCTCTCTTCTCGTTTGCTTCGATTCTATCCTTGCTGGTTTTCCAGCTCTATTCCACTTGTCCCTTGTATGGAGTCTTTGTGTGTGCTAGATTACTATTACCATCCCATCTCCTTTGAAAACCCCTATGAAACTTTAAGACCATGCAATACTAGTGCTATCCACGTTGGTGATTAAACAGTTCATCAACCTGCCCCATCCAGAGAAAACTGATACTAACAGAGGATGCCTGATGCTAACAAATGATGTTTGTACTATAAGCTCATAACACCTGTCTATAATCTGTGCTGTATGCAGCCTACCACTTAGCTCTCTTGTATTAATAAAACGAAGAACAAAAGTGATAATAAATAACACTTGTCTATGTGCTTATGATGTATTTATATTTGAAAGGAAAAAAAATGAAAAGTGACTAGACTGGGGTTCGATCCCAGGACCTTATCGGAACTAGTGAAAAATCACTGTGAGCGATACGTGATAACCAACTACACCATCCAGCCAATGTGATTATCAAATTTTTGGCCTAGCGACGCCAAGATACTTCTCTCACGGAGAAACATCTAGTTATAGACAGCTTTCCATGTCATTTTCATAGTCATGTTAAACATATATATATCCTTTATAATATACTATTAGGATGGTTAACCTGCATAAACTTGGCGTTTTTGTTTGCTTGACCCTGTACTAGGCCTACATGGGTAGAAGTATGAGGAAGAGGGTAATGATTCTAGACGGATGGTTTGCACATCTTAATAGCAAGATGATATATCTAGATTAAATAGTAAATATAGTTTAAAGCTCACTCTAGTTCTCGCTTCTGATGCAGTTATAGCTGTGGATGTCCACCTGTACCAACTGCCCTCCCTGCCATTATCTCATGGTGTCTCCATAGGCAAAATTACATGGGTAGGAAGAAGATAATCCAACCTAGATTACAACTGCCGACTGGATATGAATATACAAGAACAACGGTTCGAATATATAGGGAGTGTCACTTTTAGTATCTTACAGACAAAAGGCCTTGAGGCTTCGTTCATGATACCCAAGGGCCTTTATTCTTGGATTAAAGTCACAGCTGGGGATATATGATATAGCCTCCCCTGCTGGCCAGAGCACTAGATGTATGAGGGCGTCTTAAGAGTAGAGTTATGGAGTTAAAACTGGCTTGATATCCCCTGTTTCCCTGGAAGAGGTGGTGGTAAAACTTGGATATATAAAAAACTCTCGACACCATCCTGGCTGTCAGCTTTACTATGCCGATAACTAGCAAAAAGTGAAGGCGATAGATGGATAGGCAAAAAACAGAAGCGTCAAAAACCAAACGGCTCTTACTGTCCTCCTTAGCTGGGAATCGAACCCAGGGCTACCGTGTGAGAGACGATAATGTTGACCACTACACCACTAAGGACTTGTATGGAGAACACTTTGGGCGCGGGAAGTTTTTCTGGCAGAGAGTCACGTGCTTGAAACCTCGGCTAAACCATTTTCCGTATTCAAACAATCTTCAGGCCGAAATATAAGGCGAAGAGCTTCAAATCTGTTTTATATACAGCTTTCTACGAGAGTGAATGCGTTTACGTCTGACATCATGGAGGTAGCCTCCAGATCGATACTGCGGAGGCGCGCCCTTGCGTCTCAATTACTACGACAACCCTCTCCCTACCTTACCTCGCTGCCGGCTTCTACTCTTCTCAGCACAAGGCGACAGTTCAGCTCAACACCACGAAACAGGGCGGACCCGAACCATGGCCCTTTCTTCGGCTTGGGGGCCGGTGGATCGCCGCCCATGGGCTCTCCCACGACATACTTTTCGAACCGCCCTTCGTTGCCGGCGAACACGATAATCAGATTTGTGCCGCAGCAGACAGCATGGATAGTAGAGCGGATGGGAAAATTCAACCGAATCCTTGAGCCTGGATTGGCGCTTTTGGTTCCATTCCTTGATAGGATTGCGTACGTGAAGAGTCTGAAGGAAGCGGCCATTGAGATTCCGAGTCAAAATGCTATCACAGCGGACAATGTTACTTTGGAATTGGACGGTGTACTATATACCAGAGTCTTTGACGCTTATAAAGCTAGGTTGGTGCTCATGTTTATTGAGACTCAGTGTGGAGGTGATATGTTGGGATCTTGGCTAACGTGGAGTCTGTCTGTTCTAATACAGTTACGGTGTGGAAGATGCTGAATATGCGATATCTCAGCTTGCACAGACAACGATGCGATCTGAAATTGGTCAATTGACTCTGGACCACGTTCTGAAGGAGCGTGCTAGTCTAAACACAAATATAACACAAGCCATTAACGAGGCCGCGCAGGATTGGGGTGTGACCTGCCTCCGTTACGAAATCAGAGATATTCACGCCCCAGAGGGAGTGGTGGAAGCGATGCACCGTCAAGTAACGGCAGAAAGATCGAAACGAGCCGAGATTCTGGATTCCGAAGGTCAAAGGCAGAGCGCAATCAACATCGCAGAAGGTCGTAAACAATCCGTCATTCTTGCCTCAGAGGCTATGAAATCAGAGCAGATCAACATGGCTATGGGTGAGGCTGAAGCTATCCGACTGAGGGCTGAGGCTACAGCTCGGGGTATTGATGCAGTTGCTGGATCTATTCAAGAGGGCCAGGAAGCTGCTCGTGGAGCAATTAGTCTCACCGTGGCTGAGAAATATGTGGACGCCTTCTCCAAACTTGCCAAGGAGGGTACGGCTGTTGTTGTGCCTGGCAACGTCGGTGATATGGGTGGCATGATTGCGAGTGCGATGGCTGTGTACGGAAAGGTCTCAGAGGGACAGGCCAAGGCGATGGCTGCAAAGGCTCTCCAGCCCGGCGAGTCAACTACCGCAAAGGAGTCCACTTCTGATGTGCACACTGCTACAAGCAAGATCACCAGTGTCCAGGACGGAGAAAAGCCCCTCACAGATACCACTGAAACGGACCATGGTGATGTAACGGAAAGTGTTCTGGGAGGATTTGACCAGGCCAGCCAACGCAACCGATAAATGCTGGTCTATCCAGATACGACGTCCCATGGCTGTTTCATCTCGTGCTATACCCATTTCCCAGCTTCTTTATTCGACTCAATCAAACTGTACCATTAACGCTCTATACACTATTCCATTTTCTTTCTGGTTAACTTGGATTTCTACCTCTCAATTTTTATCGGAAGTTGAATGATGGAAAGGTCAACCGGAGTAATTCTTCACTATGTACGGCGTATTTAGTAAGGAATTGGCTAGGTCTCTTTACTTCTTCTTTGAATGCGGTTTGTATCTGTAATAGGTATTTCTATGTTGTAAACATCTCTCTTGTTAGTCGTCCATATATTGCCATTCTAACAGTAATGGTTTAGTGCTTTAAGAATATTCAATTGATATCGTAGAATTATCCGATGATTAAATGCCAGGGTAAGTTCCTTTCTAACCTACATGGAGACAGAATCAGGGCTCGCTAATAGATGACTCGAATGATGGGGAACCAGCTTAGAAACATATATGAAGACCAAAAGGGGCTGACACCGAGCAAGAAAGCAGGAAAACAGGTAAATAGTACGTATAAAAGGAATGCTAGAAGTTTGAAAATAGACGATAGGCATAAACAAATTCCGATTGACATGAACTGTATCAGCACCTTTGCTGTCAACGTCATTTGCCTGGCGTAAATTCATGCCCATTGTCTGTCCTTGGGTTTATTTGAACGAGTTGAGCGAGAGCTGTCGTGGTGGCGGTGCTAATGATATCGTCTTATGGTATGTTCGGGTGGGCGTCGGATAGTCAATTTCACGTTGTTTAACTGGGTGTTGGCGTTCATAATCCCAATCACGTTTGTTCATCTGCACATGGCTGTCAAGCCAGGCAGCGTTGCCCTCTGGTAGTATATCGATCTCCTCCAGATGCGCCACTAGTCCAACCATATACTTCTGGGAATGCTGGGCAGGGATCCTCAGGGCTGCACCCGTAACTCTCTTTACGTTGCTTTTGGGGAAATCAATCGGTCCGAGATATTCTGTTGCGTGGATGCCGCTGCTATCGAAGCTTTTATGTGCCTCTATGGTGACTTGATATGGCTTGTGATGCGCCGGTCCGCCGCTTGAGTGGTATAGTGTTCCGTACTTCGCGCCCACTGACATCAGCATGAGCATCCAGCGAGGTTCGCTGGTCTGCGGGTCGCGGGAGAAGCAGACATAGGCGTCCATAGGTAGCTTTGGGTCGAACGCCATGGTGATGTATATAGGCCGGTGGTAGACAACAAGAACGAGAATAGAACGAGAAAATTAAACGAAACCGAAGTATCACTTATATGGAATTCCCATATAG